TGTAAAGAAACCTCACTTGTTTTATGGAAGAGTTCGGGATGTTTTGGATTAACACATTTCCTTTTCCATTACTTACTCTATGGCTTTGAATCTCAAGGAGATTTCTTTTAGGAGGAAGGATTGTAACACCTCGGGTGTTTAAAATACTAAAAACGACATGTCATCATATGCATTGCAAAGCATTTGGCATTTGGTGAAAACTTTGAGATGCATACACTAAAACAAGTTTATATTCATGTGGTATGTGTTGAATTGTATTGTTTGACTTAAATTCAAAGTTGTTTGGATTTTGAATTTTTCGAGAAAACCCCGCTTTTCAAAGATTTAAATCCTACCCCGAAAATCCATTTCAAAATCTAGATGTAATTAGGAGATGGTTATAGAAGCAAAGTTGTAGAACTTTCAATTTTGAACAACTTTTGTTTTTGGAGATTTTGAGTTGTTATGAAAAATTTGAGAGTAAATTGTGAATTTTTGGCGTATGGCAATTTTGTAATTTTGTGAGCAGTGTTCACCGCCTAAGCTACATTGCCGTCGTTCCTTCTTGGCGTTCCAGCGTGTCGTGGCCGTCTTTGATGTCGCTACCGGCACGGAAATAGCTCGTCGTGGCTTCCTTGAGCTTCTACGCGCCGCTTATAAGTACCAAGACGTCGTCATCGTGCTTTTTTTCTTCCTTTGTTTTCACCACCGTCGTTGTCATCGCTCCAACAAGCTCGCATCGTCTCCCTAGCGTTGTTGCCATCTCGGTAAAGGCCGTCCTAGTTCCGTCTTTTCCTTGCGAATCCACCCGACTAGCCTTGATCGCTTTGAAATTGCCGAAGAACTCGCGTCCACGTTTTTTCTTCCTCGAGGTCAACAACTTCACCGCGCATGGGCGTGTCATCATGGCGAGTTTTTCGGTGAGCCGTTGTTCCGTAATCGATGTACTTACGGTTTCGCTTTTCGATCTTTGTAGTCTTTCGTCAGTTGTTGTTTACTCATTTTGATCGCTGCAGTCGCCGGTTCTCCCTTACCGACGATCTTTGCTTCGCATAGTTCACCGTAGTGGTCGGATAGTTCACCATAGTGGTCGGGTAGTTCACCATAGTGGTCGGATAGTTCACCGTAGTGGTCGGATAGTTCACCATAGTGGTCGGGTAGTTCACCATAGTGGTCGGATAGTTCACCGTAGTGGTCGGATAGTTCACCGTAGTGGTCGGATAGTTCACCGTAGTGGTCGGATAGTTCACCATAGTGGTCGGAGAGTTCACCAAAGTGATCGGTGCTAGCGTGGTCACATCAGTTACGAATATGGTTTGGTTAATTTGGTTTGTAACTGTACTGCGAAGAAAAATTGTATCCAATTTATTTATTTTTGTATCCATCATCGAGCATCATGTTTCATATTCCACATCATGTTAAGCATGGCAATGTTACTACGTGTAGTAAACGAAGGTGAGCACGTGGTAGTTAATCAAGTTGCGGAGGAGGTTGATCTGTCTGTTGAGGTCGGATCGAAGACTTGTGAAACGTCGCAGGAGCCAGACTTTTCCGTCAACGAAGGCAAGCCCCGGATGCATATAACCCTACCTTGTATTTTACAAATTGATTTCGCTTTTGCTTTTCAATACTGCATTAAGTGATTAGAAGTCAAGTGGAAACCTAATTGTTGCATTATCAACCTTGTTGTTCCATATCTACCTTGTTACCCGTTTAAAATCGTATATGCCTAGTTATGCTTAGCTCGCTTAGACCGATCGAGTTGGGTGATTACTGTCACCGCGAGTTTTAAATGGAACTTTGGTTACTTATGTTATCATGTGATATGGCAATGTGGAGTAATAAATCTAGACCGGGCGGACTCGGTGTGTGTGAGCCACAAGACCTGGTAATGTCTTGTGAGCGGGTTCTTTCCGCCTGTGTCGATTAAGGTCCGTACCGTTGGTGAACTGCTTGCGGTGAGACTTTGTAGTACTAACCACATACTCCGGTAAGCCTTAACTTGGCTATTCTATTACGAGAATGGCTACTCGCGCACTGGGAGTGGAGAGATGGCGGGAGTAGCGTGTACCCTCGTGGCTGGAATGTGGCCGGATTTGAGGTGTGCTGTGCTCTCGGGTGGCGCGGACCCGTTCTTGTTTAGAGGATCCAAGGGTAGGTTGGTATATGTAGGTCAGGGACCTACATATGTCGTGTGGTCTGGAAGTCCCAGCTGGGTTTATAATCGATTCGAATCGTCGTTGCTCCTCGGTTATGGAGACTCGCTTCTCTGTTCATCATCGTAGTATTAATAACTGGAACTCGAGAATGGTTCGAGAAAGTGTTGGATATGAAGTTTCATGATCTTAATACGGATCGTGTCAGCTTTGTATATGATCTGATGAGATTTTAAATATTGATACAAAGAATTTTGTTAAAATGCTTTTAAGCAAAAGAACTTTGATTATTGCTAAAGCCATACCTTGAATCCCTGAGCCTGCATTCCTGAGTCTTATCAGTTTTTATTTCGGTTAAGTCTTGTTGAGTACTTTCGTACTCAGGGTTTGTTGACCCTTGTTGCAGGTGAGGCTCATGAGCAGATCTGTTTTGGATCGTGCTGCATGACTGTTGTTCAGTGCGATGATGATAAGTAATGTGTGGCCCTTGGGCAGGGCAGTGATATTTGTGTGTTTTGTATATATTATAATGCCACTCCACTACTACGTTTTGTAATAATAATCGAACTTAGTTTGTAAGGTTTGAAATAAATGTTTTGTAAACTAAGTTATTGTAAGACTTCCGCTGATTTACTCTGTGTTGATATTTGGATAAATGTTGTAATACTGCAATGACTCTGTAATGTGATCCTGCTCGGAAATCGTGGATGATTCGGGGTTCTCCGAGGACACCCGACAGTCTTCTTAAGTTATCGGTAACATATGCATAAATGTCAAAGGTCGTTGGACAGTGACAGGTGCATGTGGGCCCTATAATTTAGGAGGTTCTGCCACATTGAATCCTCATTACAGTTATGCTGATGCTTCAATATTTGATGATGGCACTATAATAGAAGGGTTTATTAGTTGTGTTGAGACTTTCTATCATGATGATGATGACAAGCAAGATCGGGCTGTGAGAAGGTTCCTTTGTGAAGAAGCTTGCTAGGACTTATCAAAACTTTAACTTTAACCCAGGTAACAAGTTCTGTACAGAACACCCTGAAATATTTATGTTCCTGCATTTTTTATTTATTTTAGCAAAACTTAGTTCTCTTAGTGTTTGTTTCAGCATTTTGGTGGAAACTCTATGGAAATGAAACACCTATTCTACAAAGGATGGCTATGAGAATTCTTTCACTAACTTCAAGCTCCTCGGGCTATGAAAGAACTAGAGTGTTTTTTATTTGGTCAGTAACCTGTAATCTCAAGTCTGAATATTCAGTTTATTCTCCAACCTGATTTGCTTATGTTCTTAATTCTTATGTTTATTTGTAGGTACATACTAAGAAAAGAAATAGGCTAACTACAGCCCGCCTAAACTCTCTTGTCTTCATACAATTCAATTCCAAACTCATGAGCAGGAGACAACAGATTAAGTTAAAGAAGATTACTGATGTTCTCTTATCCAATGATGTCATGCAAGCTCAAGGTTTCATGTTTGATGGTGGAGATGAGTGTGCAACAGTTGTCTATGAGGATGATGATGAAGAAGAAGAAATGCTAGGTACAGGGATATGTTGGACTGTTATTGGAGAAGCAATGGGAGCAAGTGAACAACTAGAGTTGTGTCGAAGTTCAAGAATAAGAGAGCTCTATGTAGAAGAGGAATTTGATTCTAAAGAAGAGGAATTCGACAATGAGGATGGGTTGGATGGCATGGATGAAGATGAATGAATCAGCTGGAATGATGGCATCTTTTGTTATGTCTATCTATGTATTGCCATCATTGATGTTTTATCAATTTATCAGTTGTGTTGTACCGTCATGCTCATGAGTGGGCAGCAATGATGTATCTTTTAATTTGGAACTAAGTAGGACCTGAAACTATGGTTTATGAACTTCAGATGCAATGTTATGTTCTTATGAACTAAGTAGTAGTGTTCTTGCCATTAGTATTCGCCTTATCTGTTTATAAATATTTAATCATGAGGTATATTTTTTGTTTTATGAACCTAATCAACATTTGATGTTTCCCATATCTGTGACTGTTAGGAACATTACAACATGAAACCAACAATTGATGAGTTATACCTATACAAGTCCAACAATTGCTCAGCTCTACAAGTCTAGGAATGAGATCAAATAAGGTATGTTTTTATTTATACTTCTCAAGTTCACAGCTTATTACATGAATCTGATTTGCTACACTACAAAATGCTTAAGCGACGCTTTGTATGCTTAAGCCCGCTTAAGCTCTAAGCGGCGGGTCACCGCTCGCTTAGCGTTTTTTTGAACTTTGCCCGTAGCAACGCACGGACACGCTACCTAGTAAATTAAAACAGAGGGAGCACATGGTTGCGGTGGCGGAGGGTGAGCCAAATTATAGGGGGGCGATTTTTAAAAAAAATGAACAAATGAACAGTAATTGACACCAAAAATGAAATGACAATGCACATGATATCATTATTATATACATTTATATTTATATTTATAACTATTCACATACTCATACCACACGGCTGTAGAGATTGTTAGCCTGATCATCAGCAAAATACAATTGACCACCGTGGCCATAGGGGCTGATAGACAAAAGACAAGACACACCAAAATAGAAATCAGACATACAACTACAGCCCAGAGGTCTGCTCTTCTTTTCTTCAGATTTTTGAAATCTGTGATTATATCATCATAGGTATAGTGTCCTGCAACTTCACCTTCTATCTAAACCAGCAAGCTGTTGGCAAGGAAATCATCTTCCATCTTGTTGCGCAGTCTTGTCTTGGTTATCTTCAAACTAGAGAAAGCACGTTCAGCAGTAGCTGTTGAAACTGGGAGAGTCACAAGCAGCTGGATCAATCTATCAACCAAGTTAAAGACTCTATGTCAGCCTGTCCCAACAAGGCTTTGACAAAGCTGCACTACGGTTTCAATATTTTTCATATCTTCACTACTAGAAGCATCAACCATAAAATGGTTTAGCTGATGCTCTACTGCAATCATATCTTGTTCATTGAAATCCATTGGGTAGTACTTCTCAACCGATCTGCATATCTCATTTGCTTGGAAGGATAGAAATCCATTTCTTGGTATGAGTGTGGCATTTATGGACAAAAGATCCATCACCTTCTCATTGAACTTCAAATTTAATTCAGCCATCTGAGTGTCGATTGTTGCACGAAATATCTCCACTCGGAAGTAACGGTCCCTAGTGAAGTGTTCAGGTTGACGACGAGCGCGACCACCACGCAAAATGTAGGTCCCTTCCATGGTTGCATAGGACCTAACTGCAAGTATGCTCGTCGCACTTGATCTCTCTGATCAACTAGATATTGCCAAATTTGTGGACGCAGTGCCGGATCTCGCTCCAAAAAGAAATGATTTCTAGTCAATTTGATTGGATCTAGGCATCTAACAAAATCATACCAAACTTCCTAGTAAAAATTAGGGAAAGAAAGAGATTTGGGATCGAACTAACCTGTAGCAACTAGTAAGCCAGCAAGTTGCAGTGCCGAAGGCTCCTACATTATGCAAGGAGGAAGCGGCAGGCTGGCGGAAGGCCACTGTCGGCTGTCGACGGTCGCCCCGGTTGGGATCTCGCCGCTCGAGCACCGCATCCAGGAGGTGGTGTGGAGTGGAGAGCCAGAGATTGGGAGATGCAAGCGGAGTACGCCGTGTGGCCGTAACGCGGAGTCGTGGCTCCGTCCTAAAGATGGCAATGGGGCCCCGATCCCCGATTCCCCGTGGGGAATTCCCCTATTAGGGGATGGGGACAAGTTCATCCCCATGGGGATTAAATGGTAGGAAGTTCATCCCCATCGGGGCTGGCGGGGACGGGGATGGTTGCATGTCCACCGTCCCCGATCCCCGTATCCCCGCCCGGCTAGCAGCTACGCAAGCGGCGAACCAGCAAGGCAAGGCCCATCTAAAGGCCCAACTACAAGCAGCCAATATATATATTGCCAGTCTACAAGTAACCCTAAACATATCCATTCATCCTTTCCTTCCCGTACCAGCCGCTGCTAGCTTCTACGTCTCATCTCCCGCACTAGACGCAACACAACTCCGTCGAGGCACCGACACAGCAGCAGCATCTGCGGCTCCGCTTCGCCCTCTCTCATCTCCTGCACCAGAGATTAGACGTGACTCCACCAAGGCATCTCCATGTGGCATCCCAAGCGTCCGAGCCTGCTCTTGTCGTGTGTGTTCTGAAGAATGTTAGTTGATCTCCACCAATAGGCCCAACAGCCTATTGGGCCCTTGCCTCTGCTCCCTGATCGGGGGAGCCCAACCCTAACTGGTTGGTGGGCCCTTGTCGCACAGCACATATATATAGAGGAGTGGGGAGCTGGGCTTGGGTCATGAGGTTGAACGGAGTCACCACCCACCTACAGAGAAAACCCTAATCCGATCCTAAAGAAGTGCTGCTAGCAACGGGATGTGCCCACCGATGACATCGTCGCCCCCTGCAGGTCTACATCGTCCCCTCTGGACCTCCACGGCATCACCACCTCGCCTCCTCACCACCGTGACAAGTACCAGCGTCCGCGAGGCTACAGCCAGGCGTGCAGAGGAACCCAGGGCGAGGAGCCTTCCTAGATCTATGGTTATAGAGAGGTACACATTCGATTCTAACAATCTGACAACAAAGAGGGTTCAACTGAAACCCTAACCCTAATTTGTAACCCCATCCCAAATCAGGTTAATCCCAAAAGAAGAAGGGGAAGGGGGAAGAAGGGGAAGGGAACCGATTTGGATGAACTCCGAAAAGATAAAGAAATCAAAGAAAAGAAAAATCCAAAGAAAGAAGAAGAACAGGGGTCTACACACGAACCCTAAATGGGTAAAAGAAGAAAGAAAGAGAGACCTGGGTGGCGGACGTCACTGTCTACCGGTCACCACCGCCATCGTGCGGGGGAAAGGATGCCGCACCGCCGTTCTCACCGGCGCACGGCAAGAAAAGAACAGATCCGTGTTCGGATCAGAGAAGAAGGGGAAAGGATCTCAAGAACCCTAACCCTAACCCGCGTAGAAAGCTTGGGGAAGAAGAAAAGGAAGGGCTCTCGGCACTTGAACCCTAACCCTAACTGGGTTAAAGAAAGGAGGAAAAGAAAAGGTTTCATCCTTAAGATGAACAGAGCCAAAACCCTAACCCAAGAACGAATCCCCATCCCTATGGGGGTATTAACCCCTATACCCTTACGACTAAGATTGGGCCGGCCCAGATCAGTGGGTCCGGTCCACCAAAAGGCGACGCGTGGCCCGGCCAACCTGTTCGGAGTCCCGCGCAAGGAGTCAAGACAGATTTGGCGATCAAGCAAGATCTCGGTCGGTTAGAATAGGAATCCTTATCCGGTCACCTATGGAAATTGTAACTGACTATGATTAGTTTCTAGATCTGTAACCCTGCCCCTCGGACTATATAAGGCGGGTAGGGAACCCCTCTAAAAACATCTCTCATTGACATACAGCAATACAATCAGACGCAGGATGTAGGTATTACGCCTTCTCGGCGGCCGAACCTGGATAAAACCTTGTGTGTCTTGCATCACCATCTTGTTTGTGGCTTGCGCATCTGTCTGCCGACAATCTACTACCTTGGGCATACCCCTGGGTAGACTACCGACCATATTTCATCGACAGTGGCGCGCCACGTAGGGGGTGTGCGTACTGCTCTCCAAGCAAACAAGATGGTCATCATCCCCGGCTTCATGGCTACGCCGAACGGCCTCACGTTCACCATCGGTCAGATCACCTGGACCACCGGCTCCGAAGACTTCATCGCCACGATCACAGAGGAGGCGCGGATTCAATCTGCGTCGACCGCTGCTTCACCTGCATCGGCTATGGCTCCGACCACGGTGGATACGGCTCCGACCACGGTGGATCTGGCTCCGACCACGCCCGCATCGCTTTCAGCCACGCCGACAATCCATCGTTCGCTTCCCCGCTACAAAGGGAGGCAGATCGACAACACCGACCTGCTCGACTCCATCGATCGGGTCAGCACCAAGCTCGCTGAAACCCTAGCTCTGGTAAGTTCAATTCAAAGTGGACCTAATGAGCAGGTAACCGCTTCCCACAATAGATCTACCCGACCGGCTCGGGCCAGTCATCCTGCACGACTTGGTACAGATCTCGTGGTCATATCTACTCCTGAAGGGCGCTCCGCTCGTCACCGGCCAGCCTCCGCGATGGGTCTCCAGCTCTCCGAGTATGAAGCCTTGACGGAGAACTACCAGGCCCAGCCCTACAGCCTTCGAAATGCTGCCTCCAACTATGCGTGTAATATACAACGCCGCTTGGATCTGTGTCGACCTCAGTCGAAGCCGCGAAATTTCGTCAACATGGTCCGGATTGAGGATTATCAAGAAGGATCCATCCACATAGTCCAAGAGGGTGACTCTAGCTCCTCGTCTGGCATCGCATCCAATGCCTCCGACCACACTGAGCTCCAGCGTCACGATGATGAAGGCATCGAATACGATCTGGATATCCCAGACCATGCCCCAGGGTACCCACAATTCCCGTCCTTCCCACCAAGACGAGGGGATTTGATCAATGTTATCAGTAATGATGAACCACCAGTAGTCGGCGAAACAGAATAGGAAAGGATTGCACGCGAAGCACGTAATATTGACCGGTTTAATCGCCGACAAATCGAAGCTAAAGCAGAAGAGGAGGCACGACGCATAAGGGTCCAGCCATGCGACCTCAACAATGCTTCCGACAGGGTGGGGGACAAACAGGTCTTTTGGACCCCAAGCGCCAACGTAGCCATCGCTATGGCGACAATGCAATGGCTACCCAATACCCCGGAAACTCAGGCAGTTCGCGATGAAATACAAGCCTATCTGACGGCTGCTATGGCCCAGACCGCAGAGATTGTAAATTAGGCCTGGGCTCCCTCCGTCTTAGTCGAGTCAAGCCACAGCCGCCAGTACTCAAGCTGCTCGCAGCCACCCAACCTACGTGGCTCGCGCAACAACAATCCATCAGATAACCGTCAAGGCGGAAACGGTGGCCATGATGGCGGTCGAGATGACAACCGTCGCCGACATGACAATCGCTGCAACGTCTGAGACGACAACCGCCGCGACAACCATGGTCGCAGGGCTAATCTGGATGGCAACCGAGATCGCCGCAATGGCAATAATGATCTCCGCCACTACCTCGGAGGATGTGATCTGTGTGATCGCATCAACCAGAGAGACAACGATCGTGCATCCCACGAAAGCTATCGATGTATGGAATATGATACTGCCCACGGCCCGTCGGGTTTGAAGCAGTTTACTCCGCACCTTCGCCAAGTCATATGGCCCAAGAACTTCAAGCTCGAAAAACTTTAGAAGTATGACGGCAAGGAGAACCACGAATTATGGGACAAGCTCTATGAAACCGCGTGCAGATCAGCCACGGCTGACGAGCACGTGATGTCTAACTACTTTCCAGTAGCTGTTGGTCATGCAGGTCACCAGTGGCTGGTCAGCTTGCCGGCAAACTACTTCGATTCCTGGCAAGAACTCAGGCAAGCTTTCATCGACAACTTCATTGCCACTTGCGAGCAACCCGGCAACAAATATGATCTGCAGTGGATTCGAGATCGAAAAGATGAGCCGCTGCGCGAGTACGTCCGGCGTTTCTCTGAGATGCGCATCAAGGTCCCATCAATATCCGACAGCGAGGCAATCGAGGCTTTCATCACTGGCCACCGCTTCCACGATGCTCTAAGGGACAAGCTCCTTCGCAAGAGGCCTGAGTCGGTCACAGCGCTCCTGGCCACCGCTAAGAAATACGCGGACGCCGACGATGCTAAAAAGATAATTATCGAAGAAGCAGCAAGGGTTCCGCGCTCCGACCACCCCCCACACCGCGACGACTACCGCGGCAATCATGGTCGAAGCGACAATTTTGACCGCCGCAACTAGCGCAACAACTCCCGCGACCACCGCGACCAACGTAATCAGCGACGTAACCGCCGTGATGATTACAGGGGCAAGCGTGCTCGGGAAGACGATGGCGAAGTCAACACCGTCAAAAAAGGGGGCGGACGTCGTAACTACAAAGAAGATTACGCCAAAGCATTGAAGGGGCCCTGCCAGCTCCATCCCAAGTCAAACCACACCATGGAGAACTGTCGCGTTCTCAAGTCTATCTACACGCGTCAACAGGCTCCGGACACGTCCGACAAGCCTAACGATGTAGGGGAACAGCGTAACAAGGACAATGACGATGACGACGCAGATCCTCGTCACAAGTATGTCAAGCCA